GGGGGGGGGGGGGTGTTAAGCCTTCTTGGTGATTACAATGTGCAGCCAGGGTGAAGAACCACTAATCTGAGCTTTCTAGGTTTGAGATACCCACTCTGCCCCACCTCTAGAGCATTCTATGACAATTATGTTAAAGTATTCCCAACTATGCAGTCACTGATACAAACACTTTAACACATTCTCACAAAATGAACCTGACTCTAAGGGACAAAAATAGATTCCTGAAAAAGTTGTCTGTGAATTGAAGCTGTGCAAATGGAATTATTTTAAACAAACCATTTACTGTCTCACAGACTCCCTGACACTTGACTAGTATGCACTCATGTGAAACAAATTCTTTGAAGTATAAAATAACTGCTCACCAGTTTATATAACTTTGGATTTTGGTGTCCTAAGTTCTCTAAAGAACAAAGCATCTCTGTATTATTTGAATATAATTTATAGTGGTTTTTGCAGAGTACAGTATTTATGCTTATACTAAATTATAACAGCTTATCATTATGATAACCCTATTTGATGGGCTTGGCCACTGGTCCTGAAAAATCATCTAATACTTCTTAAGCAAATTTCATTCTCTGTGAACCAGGTCAGGGAGCCTGGCCTGTTTGGTTTTTACTCCTTTCCTTGTTTTCCCTATACCCTAGGATAGGCAAGCCAGAAGAATGTGCAGGCATTGTGTCTTTCCTGTGCTCTGAAGATGCCAGCTACATCACTGGGGAAACAGTGACAGTGGCTGGAGGGGCCCCATCCCACCTCTGAGCACCTGGAGAGAGCCTACCAGGGCAGAGACTGGGCTCCAACTCCTACTCCAGTTCCAGCACTCATCCACTGGCCTTTCCCACCTCTGCCTATCATACCTTTACCCCGCCCCCCAAAAATCAGTTCTGCCCTGTGACAAGACCCAGCCTTCCCTGTTGTCCTTTGGTCTTATGAGGATTCCCACTGTTGCTGTAGCCTTAAGATAAAGATTTCCCCTGAGGACACAGAGAAGGCCTGCTGAGAAAGAAGGCTGAGTCTACCTTGGCAAAGACTAACATATATATGTTTTATTTTTTTCTGGGCATCTGGGCAATTTGAAGGAGGTGAGAGAAAAGGAACCTGGAGTTGAAGGAGGGGCTGGGAAAGTTGAAGATTAATTTGCAAATGGGGTGCAAATAAAATGCAGATGATCGTGTTGCTTTGACTCAATGTGTTCATTATTTCAGTGTGGGATGCATAGGTGTGGCAGATGAGCAGAAAGCGTAATCTGAGTGGACTGGATCTCTGGATCCCCCTAACCCTCCTCTCTCTCACCAGAACTGAGCCTGATGCTCAGGGGTGAGGTGTCTGCAGAGCTGCCAGCTGGGAGGAGGTGGCACGGGAACTTCCAGGTGCTACATCCGCGAGGATGGTGCCAAGGGCGCCGCAGGGATCCCCAAGTCGGCGAGCAGGGAAGGACAGACTCCCCCAGATCTGGCCAAGTCCTCTCCTGGCCTCGCCCTGGGCCCCGAGTTCCCTCGCAGGTCAGCGAGGACGAGCTGGACCGGCCCACAGAGAGAGGCCTTGCAAGGACGACCCTGAGAACCCAGGCCCACAAACAAAAGCATGGATTTTGCTCAGGGTGCTCGAGGAGTGTGTGGCACGCAAAGCGCGGACGCTGCCCTCCGCTGGGGAAATGCCCGGGCTCCCGGCAACGAGCACCGGGCGCCGCTCGCGGGAGCCGGCGGGAGGGGTGGGC